GTAACGCCGAACTGAGCTCCTCCCAGTGATCCCAGTAAAAATGTCCTTCAGGCTGTTCTGGATTTTATGAGCAACAGTCCGGGCTCAGCTCCACACCCTCCTGTTTTTATTCTCCTCATTACTGGAGGTAATCAATTGATTTCAATTCAGAGGACTAATTACGCTGCAGCTTCACGAGCATGTTAAAGGGTCCCTCTTGTTTTACAGGAAGTGGATTGGAGATGTTGTGGGTAAATTTAAAGTTATTGCATTTTTTCCAGGCAGTTAAGAGCCTGATTCACAGGAGGTTCAGATGTTTAGACCAGAGAGTAACTCCTCCTGCTATAATGAACACTGTTTAATGGGACCAGGGCGGATGGATGGTGTAATAAAATCTCTACATGATGCAAAAAAGGGTTGAATTTAGTGAACGACGCTTAACACGAATGCTGAGCAGAACTAAAACACGGTCAAAGCTCTGAATGATTCATTCCTCTGCAGCGTCCATAAACACTTAACCCACAATAATAATAATAATAATAATAATAATAATAATAATAATAATACAGTAAAAAGAAGAAGAGTAGAAAGGATAATTATAATAATAATAACAATAACATATTGACAGCAATAGTAACAATAATAATAAGTAAAAATGTTATGCTATAATAATAATTATTATTATTTTACTTTGTAGTATTCACCTTGGTTGTCTCTCCCTAAATAGAAAAAAAAGAGACTTTGGTTTCTTTTTTAACATCTACATCTTCTATTTAATCAAATGTATGTAAACATAATGTATTGAAAGTGTCTATAGCACACGTGTCAAACTCAAGGCCCGCGGGCCGAATCCGGCCCGCCACGTCATTTTATGTGGCCCGCGAATAAAAATGTAAAAGTTAGACTTGAAAATAAAAGTATCCTCACGGTCGAAATTATGAGATAGAAAGTTGAAATTCTGAGACAGCATGTTGTCTGTGTACCGACATTAAAACTATCACTGAGGTGGACAGGAGAGGCAACAGCCCGTAAAGAGGTTTTCCAACAATTGAGTTGAAAAAGATCAACAAATAATCACAAAATGTCCACGAAGAGAAAAATTGATGCAGAGGGAAGAAAATGTAATGAAAGATGGGAAAGAGAATACATGTCTGTGCTTCAAGGAGAACAACGGGTCTGTCTTCTGTGTTATGAGGCGTGTCGGTGATGAAGGATATAATTCACGTCGGTATTTTGACACCAAACACGGAGCTAAATTTAGCCTCCAAGAAAAACATCAAATTGTCCAAGAATTAAAAGGCAGAGTGCAATCACAGCAGAATATATTTACAGAAGCTACAGCCCAGTGCATGCTAAAGGTCTGTGAGCAGGTGAGCTCCGACCAGATACAGACTTTTACAAATGTCAGTTTGTGAAGAAACACCATCGCAGACCGAGTTCAGGAACTAGCAGCAATCTAACAACACAGCTAGCTGAGAGACGAGATACATCATCTATCAGTGTTTGTAAGAGGCTGAAGGCAGACCTGACTCTGTGAGGAGCTCTTGTAGCTGCCATGCACGGGACGACGGCAGGGACATTAGTGATGCAGAGAGGTGACAACAATAGCTTTGAACAAAGTTAATTTGATGATATTTGTCTTTGTTATTTTCTTTAACAGTTTGATCTTTGATAGAGTAATGTGGGTTTCTTAACCCTAAATTAAAATGATTTATGTTATAATAACAGAAATGTGCTTAAATATCATTTTACATTTATATAACTGCATGTATAATATTTTAACACTTGAATAAACAATAATCAAATGCAGAGAGAGTTATTTAACAATATGTTAGGAGTAGTTACAGTTATACAGTCTTACAGTTACAACCGGCCCTTTGAGGGAAACATGATGCTGATGTGGCCCGGAGTGAAGATGAGTTTGACGCCCCTGCCTTACAGCAAAGAAGTGCTGACATCTGCAGAAAGCTAAATCTATAAAAAAAAAAGTTTACTTTTCACGTGATTTGTCTGCAATAATTTATAACTTTTAAGGATAAAAATAAACAATATTGACATATAACCATATAATAAAAACTTCCTTTAAAGCACCTTATCTTTTATTAATTAATTAACAAACCAGTCTGGTTAAACCAGACTATTATTATCTGATGACTGTAATATTATTATATATAAATATAAATATTATATATTTGCAGTGGCAGCTACTTGCAGACAGAACAAATTAGATTTATTTCAAACTTCTTACAAATAATGATAAAAATAAAACTATAAAATTAACAGTAAACATATCCAGCAATTTCTAAATAACCTAAATAAATACATATTATATGTTCCAGAAGGAGTAGAAAGAAATAAACACTTAGACAAGTCCTAGGCCTTTCTACAACTTCAATAACTTACATAATGTTTATCACATCAACACTTTTATAATCATCTAAATATATAAAACAACAACAACGAGCGTCACAGCCCCGAGAGAGACAAGCCCCCCTGTTGCTATTAAACTGCCTGCGAGCATTAAAATATGATCATTTTAAGGACGAGCGCCTGAAATGACGTGTGTGTGTTGATCTGGTGATAGAAGACCAACGCAGCATCCTGCAGCTCACCTCCACATACGGGTAGAAGGAGTTCTGGCCCAGACTGTCCCAGTATGAACCCGTCTCAAAGCGGAGCTTGTACATTCCGGGGCCGAACGCTCCTCGAGCGATGAGTCCTGAGCAGCGGCCATCTTCATCTGTTGTCCTAAAAAAGATCATGAAGGAGAGAAAACCCATAAAAACAATGTTATCTGGTGATTTTGGTCTATTTTTCTTCCATAACTCGTCTTCTTTCACTCGAGGAAATAAAACATTAATTTTACTACTTTGTCTGTTTGTGTCTGTAGATTTCTACTAAATTCACCAAAAGTTACCATTAGATAATCCCTCATTTGCATATTTAAACATAACATGTCAGAAAACTTGTAATACAAACATATTTATGAAAGTAATCAACAGGGGAAGTTTCACGGTGATATCTATTCGTTCAAAGTTTTACTGCAGTGATGTATTTTGTCCACGGGTTCGAACCCTGACCTACCCGACACTCAGCATGCTCCAGATCATCAGCTTGGCGTCGAGCCGGTGCAGGCTGAGGGCCATCCGGGCTGCCGGGACGCCGTCCACGGTGTTCAGCACGTGAGTGGTCAGAGGGCTGGACTCTGCTGCCGCCATGGTCTGCAGGACAGGTGAGGAGACAGGTGAGGAGACAGGTGGACAGCTTTACCTGTCGGACCTTCAGTTGATACGCAACGTCTCAACTGGGCTCCATGACACCACAATACGGAGCAATATATAACAATTACTGACTCATTAATGATTAAAGTGTGTTTTAAATCATCATTTAAAGTTCTTCTCGATAACATTAAATGTAGAATGTCAAGCATTAAGGGAGGTTTATTGGCAGAAATCTTTCTTTAATTTATAATCACCTGAATATATGAATCCTTGTTTTTTTCGTGACCTTCGATTGAGCCGTTTATATCTACATACGGAGACGGAGTCCGCCATGTTTCTACAGTAGCCCTGAAAGGACAAACCACACACTGACTCTAGATGGGGCCATTTGCATTTTCGCGTTTTCACGTCGGCTGCCGTAGTTCAGTTCCTACAGAAGTGTCCGTTGGTTGCAATATGCAACCTCACCGCTAGATGGCGCCAGATCCTACATACTGCAGCTTTAAATATCCATGACTACAAGGCAGCAATCAAAATAAAGTATCTTTAGGTTTAAGTTTAGCCGAGTTTAACGGTAAAAAAAACGCAGCTAACCTGCTTCATCAGGACTGTGAGGGTCTGAGTTGATCAGACTTGATTGAGAAACAACCAACAATCCACCAACGGTCATCACATTTTGATTCAATTATAGAAAAATCCTGATTTGTGCACGAACGTACGTGACAGTAGTCACGCCTCCCGAAATCCAGTGAGAAAACACAACTTCCGTGTCCGTCATGTGACGCCATGAGGCCCAACAATACCTTTTCCCCATAGATTTTCATTTTTTTGCAACTAAATTGTCCTTTAATCTTGTTAAAGGTTGTTTGTGTGTATGTGTTATGCAACCTTCATGTGTTCTGTATTTTCTGCTAATATTTAACTGGTATTTACATTTTTTACATTTTGTCAATAAGGAAATCAACTTCCCAGTAAAAACACTTCATAAACAGAAAAGCATCAGATAACATTATCCAAATCACTATTTAAATTAGAATTAAGTTAGTTCAGATTATGTTTTTTACACATATTTGAATCATGTTGCAGGAATTTGTTTAATCTATTTCAAGTAACTTACTTGAAACAATCAATAGTGAACCATGATTAAAGCTCTGAGACAAACTAGTCAACGCACTTTCATCTGTTTGACCCTTGACTCCTGCTGTGTTTTTCCCAAAATCTCATCATCCTGAACAATTAAGAGTTATCAATCTGTCATGTGAATGTGAGCCTGGCATTTCCTTATATTCTATTTCTAAGAACATCAGAGGAAGCTCAGATATTTCTTATTAAAATGTGACGTTTTTGTGCAAAACAAGAGACCTCAAGAGAAAGCAGC